AGGCAGGAGAATTGCCTGAACCCAGGAGGCGGAGGTTGCGGTGAGCCGAGATCGCGCCATTGCACTCCAGCCTGGGTAACAAGAGTGAAACTCCGCTCAAAAAAAAAAAAAAAAAAAGACTACAAACTGAGTTCAGTGTGTACTCTGCTCGGGCAATGAGTGCACCAAAATCTCACAGATCACCACTGAAGAACTTACTCATGTAACCGAACACCACCTGTTCCCCAAAAATCTAAGGAAATAGAAAATTTAAAAACAAGAAAGCAAGTTAGGTTCAGGGAGGTGAAGTGACTTTTCCAAGTTGGCCTGTCTAGGAAATGGAAGAGTGGCGGGTGGTTGGACAAACTGGCACCCACCGGACAGGCAGGACCTGACCTCACCCTGGGTCCTGTCCCTGCTCATCAGCACCTGGAGCCACGTGACAGAGGGACGCAGGGACAGCCAAGACATTTACAAAGTGAAGATCCTTTGTGCCTGAGTGAAGTGATCCTTTCAAAAATAATCGCCAGCTCCCCTTCACCACCTCCGGAGACCAAGTCCTTGCTGATTTTTCCCCGTCTTTATCTCAAGTACATTTAAATGTCAATTAAATTTGAAATATCTACATTTGTCAGCATTTCATTTTGGGCCAGCGTGACGTGCTGCTGATTTGTCCACGCGATGTGACACATGAAAAAAACTCCCGAGATGCAGATCTTCCTCATTAAAAAATAAGCCGGTGCGATCCCGGCACGGCAGAGAGCATGGAGCACGTCCCTGCTTCCTGACGCCGTGTCTCTGACATGGTATTTAAAAAGGAACAGCCTCGCCTGTCACCACTGTCACATGCGCGCGCTAACCGGCGACACGTTAAACCAAACATTAGAAGGGGTTCGGGAAGTCATCTGCATGGGAACTCCATGCCAAGACGAGGTGGGCAGAGGCGGGAGCAGCCATGGGGGATGATGGGGTCTGATCTGTGACGGATGGCCAGCCTTTCTTCTGTACCAAGACTCCGGCAGCCCTCGCCGGGCAGCCAAGTTTACAGCAACCTGCCTTTTCACAGACAGCTCTTTGTGTGTGATAAAATCCAGGCAAGTGGTGGGTGGCAGACTGCAGGGGAGTAGCTGAATTGGGTTAATGAAGGAAAAGGTACTTTTTTTTTCATATTCTCCCTTAAGCTAATAAAAAATTTAAGCCTGGACGTTTTCGAAGGTTCATCCTTTATCTCTGACAAATAATCTGACTGTATGTTTCATGGGAGAACATGGGCAGCTGAATTTTAAAAAGCTTATTTTAAAACCTCACCTTTCATTAAAAGTAAAAGGGGAAACACCTTACCTCTTATTTCATTGTTTCTGACCCAGGAAACTGAAGAGACAAGATCCCATAGTGGTTGAAAGTCAACAAATCCAGATTGATTTCTCAGCTGTACCATTAGCTGCTGTGTGACCCCGGGCAAGTGACTCCCCCTCTCTGAGCCTTAGCTACTTTGTCTGCAAAATGGGGTTACAATAAAGAATTCATGAGAAATGTATGGACAGCATTTTGCCCAAGGTTTGTAAGTACTGCTAGTGTTATCATCCCATGTGGCCTGGACTTGACAAAGCTCCGATCTGACCACATCAGACGGCAAACTTCTCACCTGGGTGCGCCCCGCCCCTTTCAAGAGACAGGTGGTATATTCTGGAGGCAGCTGGGCCTCCTGTGGAAACCACTGCCCAACCAGCCTGGCCTGGCCAGTACATCCAAGTAGAGAAGGAAAGTGGCTTGTGAGCTGGAAACTGTGGTTCCCTCTCTTCCCCCACCTGCCACAGTCTCGCCAGGGTGGGAACCCCCAGCCCCCTCCACCATCACAGCAGTGTGGGAGGCACTGGATGCTGACAGTGGCCAGACTGCAGCAGCCTGATTGAATGAAGCCAAGGTGCAGCCCAGCACAGAGGCTCTGCACTCCTAGGTGTGAAGCCAGAAATTTCTGGCAGGTTGAGTGGCGTTTCACCAACGTGCCAAGCTGTGATCTGTGCTTTCTCGTTAGACCCAGTGGTGGGTGCCCGTGCGTGGATAGGCATCAGAAAGGCATTCAAGGTGGACATGACAGCCACTCGAGAGCCTCCCTCAGTTTGGCCCAGGCAGGGGCTGGCGTCCCCTCTTGTGTGTCTCCACCAAGCCCCCACTCACAGGAGAGTGAGGGCCCTGGGGGTGGCCAGTCCAGGCTGCAATCCCTGCTCACCACTTCTTCACCAGTGAAGCCCCAGTACACAGCTAGCCTGGGTCTGCTCACAACAGCCGGACTCTGAGTGCCTCATGGTTGGGTGCACAGATGGACAGATGGATGGGTGGACTCATGAAGGCCTGGTCCTCTAGAAAATCAGTATGGCGACATCTCATTAGGCTCTTGTGAGGGGTAGAAATGGCCTCTATAAAGCATAGTGCCTGCTTGTTGATTATCATCTTAAACAGTTCCTGCCTCCCCCTACCCACCCGACACGCTCACCCTCAAACATCGTCCCATTCTTCACCTCTTAACATCTCAGAACAGATGGGAGCCCAGAGAAAGAACACTTCTATGCAGCAGCCACAGTCTGGGGAAAGGGGACAGTGTGGTATAGTCCAGGAAGATGGTAAAGTGGGGGTCCCCCAGCAGGCTGGCTTTCATTCATTTGCAAACCTCCCTGACATTCATGCCCTAGCCCAGGTAGGGAGAAACAGAACAAGAAGCCAGGCCTTTCCTTGATGAACTCGACCCAGAAACAGAATGGCAAGAGGTTAACGGTGTCTGTGAAGGCCTAAGACGCACAGCCAGAGAGCTCTGCTAGAACTCCAGTGAGCTTCCCCGAAGACCCATCGAACTGAGTCTTCACCGCTGAAGAGCAGTCAGTGCTCCAAGCAAAGGTGACAGGGAGGGTGGAATATTCAGGGCCTGGTGTGCACAGAGATGTTATGCACGGCCCAAGTGCAGGGGAGGCCGACATACAGCATGGAGACTGCCCTGCTCGGAGCTCAGGCTTGGCACGGCCGCTCAGCAACGCATCCCACCAGCTCCCCAGAGTGCCGCGGAAGCCCACGGCCTGCCCACCCTCAGCCTCTCACCTGCTCAGAACAGTCAGTGCTACAGAGTGAGAGTGGGCGCCCCCTAACTTTGAAACGAGTCCCCGCAAATGCCTGCGCATTATCGTTCCTAACCCTTTGCTCCGCAGATTGATTTACTCACCATACCACCAACTGCAGCAAGATCACCGTTCAGAATGACACATTCGTAGGTTTTAGCAGGACAGTGACAACTGTGGGTTTGTGATTCAGAGAGACTCTGGTGGCCATGTGAAGGGTGGCCTTTCTGCTCTGCCTTATTCACTGTGGAGGTGGCAGGAGCCAGGCACCCTGGCCCCGAGATGCCTGCAAGTCAGGTCTTCCTGGCCTCTCCATTGAGGTGGGAAAATGCCCCCTGGACCAGAGCCCTCTCTAGTCCCGGAAGAGCTGAGTTGTGTTTTGCCGCTGACAGCCAGCAGGGCAGCCTGGGAGCAGAGAAGAGCCCAGCGCTGTGACACGCCTCTTCCCATGTGTAAGCCTGAGCTAGTGGCTTCCCCCCCAGAGCCTCGACCACCACTGCAGTTCCAGGACAAAAGTCTTTGCCAGGCCAGCCTCTGGGGTCAGTGGGAGGAAGTAGGGGTTCTGATGTGAAATTGCTGGGACGGCACCAGCCCTGCAGATTGCAGCAAAGCCCAGGCACAGGCCACTCACCCGTCCCCCGCACAGCCACTGTCTCTCATTCACTCGCCAGCTGTGGCTTTCCTGAAATAAAACCTCAAAAGAATTCCAGCACGGAAAGCAGAGAAGGGGGACAGCTTTGGCTGGGGGTGAGGGGAGAGGAGATAGCCATGCCAGCCCGCCCACCCCGCATTCTCCCCAAACTTCACTTGCCTCAGAGCAAGCCAGCCCGTAGAATGGGGCAGGGGCATGGAACACCCCTGGGTCTGCTCATACCCAGCAGGTTCAAAGCGCCTCTTGGTGGGGTGCACAGAGACACCTGTTCCCCAGCACACAGGCCAGGATTTGAACCCTGGTCTGCCTGGTCCAGCTCGCCTCTGCTGAGCACACAGCCTCTGTCTGGCAGGCCCTGGTCAGCATATAATTCATAGGAGCCAGGCGTGGAGTTTCTCCAGGCTGTGTATGTGTTTGTGTTTATAGAGGTAGGGCTCACAGGTGGTTGACAAGGGAGATGCATTTTTTATAATAATGAATATTTAATTTCCATATCACAGATGAAAAAGACTCTCTGAAGAGGCATCTGAGGGAAGCTCCAGAGAGTAGCCGCTAATCAGAAAAGGGCCTTCTCACCAGTGTGCTTCCACGTGGCTCACTTTTTTCTTGAACTTTTTTATTTTTTATTTCTTCCTGATTATTGGAGTAGATATGCTCATTGTAGAAACCGTATAAGACACAGAAAAATAAAAAGAGGCAGGAGGGAAAGAAATCACCCATGATTCCACTGGCTGTTACTGACATTTAGCCATGTACCTTTCCAGTCTTTTTTCTATGAGTTTTTCCATAAGCCAATGACACCGAATGCGGCATGATTGCAGTTCCGCCTCATCTTTACCTTTGTCTTCATGAACATTACTTTTCATGGGAGGACAAGAAGCAGCCCCTGTGCCAGATGGTGGTTGCTGAAAATGTCGGTTGTTCCATGTTTCAATATTATAAACAGCAGTGTTGAACGTCTTCAGCTGTGACTCCTTGCTAACTTTGAGGGTTAACCAAATGGAAGTGGAATTACTAGGTCCCATGTGATGGATCATGAGTTTAAGGCTCTGGACATGTAGCAAATTTAGTTTCTTTTCTGTCTAAAATCAGCTTCCTCTGCTCGGAGCCCATCAGCCCTCACCTGGGAGCCCCCACCCCAGGCTGGCAGAGGGAGGCAGGGCCTGGCGTGGAGCCCTGAGCCCTGCTTCCCACCTGCACATGAAGTTCTGAGGGCGCCCCTAACTGCCTGTTCTCTTCTCTTTTGTCTTCCTCTGCCCCAGCCTGGTAAAGCCCTTGCGACACTATGCGGTCTTCCTCTCCGAAGACTCCTCTGACGATGAATGCCGGCGGGAAGAGGGCCCGAGCTCTGGCTTCACCGAGAGCTTTTTCTTCTCTGCTCCCTTTGAATGGTCTCTCCTTCCTTCTTCCATTTCCCTGACCTCGGCTTGGTGACTCTGTGGGCCTGCATGGGGAAAGCGGGGGGCTGGTGCTGCTTGCCTTTGTGTTGGGTGGGGGTGCCTGGAGCTGCTGCCTGCCGATGTCAACATGCAGGGTGGAAGCCACCTCCACTTCTCATGGTGTCCGTTCTGCCAGCCCTACAGGGGCTGTGACAATAGAGTGAGGTGACAGGGTGATACCGGAGCACTGGTCCCCTTTCCTTAGGGGGAAAATGTGTTTGACTGCTGCTGGAATTGGTGGCTACAATTAGCCTGGTGGTTGATCTCCAAGTCCTTCTCTAGCTCAGCATGTCTTGCAAAGCCATGGAGACGGGAGTCAGAGTCTAAGTTAAAAAAGAAAACGTTCCTCATGTGAAATGTGTATATTAACGCCAGCATATCCAAGTGCTCTGATGTGCCTGACTTTTTAGATAATTTTAATCATTATTATTTATAGCCTAAGCTTCACACCAATTACAAGTAGCGATTTTAAAAGCTTCACCCACCATCCAGGCACCCCTAAAATTAAGCTGCTGTTGCCCTCCCTTCTTTATCCGCTCTTGCCTCTCCACCCACAAGTGTTTCAGAGCTGGGATTGAGCAGGTAGACAGCTTTTGTCTGTCTTCCTTGTTAACACGGTTGTGTGTTTTCAATGGGAGCCTTTAAGGGAAGGGAAACTGCCCTTTGCTGGATGCCCACGGTGTCCACAGCAACCTTCCGGGGAGCACGTTAATCGTTGTGGTCACTACACAGGAGACGTCTTTTCGAGCCTCTCCCTTGTGTCCCCTGCACCCTCTCCATTCCTAAACCCCAGCATCAGGTCCCTCCCCCTGGGGTGACTCGTGGGTTCCTCTGGGGACCTTATAATCCCCAGACTGCTCGGCCTCCTGTCGTCAACCCCACAGGGTCAGAGGGTCTTGAGCCTTTCCTGTCACCAGGTCACTGGGGATCCAGGCAAATCACTCCCCTCCCAGTGTCCTCACTTGGAAAGTAGCGGCCTTGCCGGGCGCAGTGGCTCACACCTGTAATCCCAGCACTTGGGAGGCCGGGGGCAGGCGGATCGCTTGAGGCTAGGAGTTTGAGACCAGCTTGGCCAACATGGCAAAACCCCATCTCTAAAAGAAAATACAAAAATTAGCTGGGTGTGGTGGCATCCACTGTAATTCCAGCTACTCAGGAGGTTGAGGCATGAGAATCATTTAAACCCGGGAAGCGAAGGTTGCAGTGAGCTGAGATTGTGCTTGCAGGGCTCCAGCCTGGGAGACAGAGCAAGATTCTGCCTTAAAAAAGAAGAAGAAGAAGAAAGTAGTGGCCTAAGCTGGTGTCATCCAACATCCAAGCATCGCTCATAACTTTTTTTTTTTTTTTTGAGACAGTCTCGCTCTGTCGCCAGGCACCAGGCTGGGGTGCAGTGGCATGATCTTGACTCACTGCAACCTCCACCTCCCGTGTTCAAGCAATTCTCCTGCCTCAGCCTCCCGAGTAGCTGGGACTACAGGCACACGCCACCATGCCCAGCTAATTTTTGTAATTTTAGTAGAGACAGGGTTTCACCATGTAGGCCAGGATGGTCTCAATCTCTTGACCTCGTGATCTGCCCGCCTCCTTTTGATGTATATCAAATCTGTTTCTATTTTTTTAAACGTTTTAAAAATTAGTCTTCTCCTAAGCAATAATATCTATGATATCATAGTCTTAATGTATTAGTTATTTCTGTTGCTAATTAGAACAAAAATAGGACCATTGGCATAAGAAATGTCTACCCACGTGTCAACATAAAACACCTTTTGGGAAAAGGTACCCTGCTCCCAGCCAGGAGCCCACCAGGTCAAATCCAAGGCCCAGCTCCATCATATTCTCTTTGAACTAACTGACGACTTAATTATTTAAATAATGGTGAGAGCTTACTTCCTTAGCCCGTGACCTCAGAGGTCTGGACAGGCCTCTGTGCGTGTGGGTACTTGAAAAAAAACTGGCCCATCCTAACTCAAAATGGGTTAAAAAGAACACTGTTTCCTTAAGTTCAAGAAGCACACTGACTTTAACCCTTTCGGTTGTGCTCATCTTGATGAAAGCGTCTCTAATTCCTTGGTCGGGGTGAGCGAGGGACGTCTGAAGTCTCTCAAACTTGGCTTTCATTTCCACCTCTTGTGGGTGCTGTGTGAATAGGTGAGTTATGTAATGCTCTGAGCTTCCATTCCTCATCCATAAAGTAGGGTGCAATTCCCACTTTCTGGACTGCTTGCATTGCTTCAGCGAGACGGTACTCTGATGGAGTCCCTGCCCATCACTGGGACTGTTCGATGAGTCTCCCCTATGCCCCCTCCCTGGTTCCTTCAGTGAGCCTTCAGTGTGAGCCTACTCTTGACCGCCAGGTGGTGCCCTTCCCCCACTTTACCAGCGCCATGGGTGCCTTCTCCGCCTGGCCTGGAGCCACCACCAGCCCCAGCCTTGGGGTTAGAAGAGGCAAGATGCAGCTCCCACTGGGGCTCCACTACAGGTCAGAGTTGACCCAGGCGCTGCCTCTCCATGTACCCAGTGGTAACCTGGGACTCAGGTCCATGGGACCAGAAGGCAAGTGGAACGCTTTGTGACCTGTACTTGGATCAGCTGCAACGTAGTGGTGTGCTTTTTTGTTTGTTTTGTTTTGTTTTTGTTTTCAAATAGGGTCTTGCGCTGTTACCCAGGCTGGAGTGCAGTGATGCGATCTTGACTCACTGCACCCTCTACCTCCCAAGTTCAAGTGATTCTCCTGCCTCAGCCCCCCCGAGTAGCTGGGACTACAGGCATGCACCACCACACCTCATTAATTTTTGTATTTTTAGTAGAGACAGGGTTTCACCACATTGGCCAGGCTGGTCTTGAACTCCTGGCCTCAAGTGATCCACCTGCCTCTGCCTCCCAAAGCACTGGGATTACAGGCATAAGCCACGGCGCTGGGCCAATGGCCAAAAGGTTTTGATGTGTAAAAGTACAGAAAGCTGCTAGCACAGAGCCTGTGTGACAGCCACGCTCACTGGAGAGTGATCGATGCTGTCACCAGCCTCTGCGTGTCTGCTGTGTGCCGGGCACTGCATTTACGCATGTAACCACCACCAACCCCTGAGTGCCTGAGGCTCAGAGAGTTAAGTGACCTGCCATAGGTCCCACAGCAAGAAATGGCATGACCAGCGCTGGAACTAAGGTTATCAGGACAATCTCAGGCCCAGACAAGTTCCCCCTGGGACACTGTGGGTAGCTACCCCCCGGGAAGTTTCCCCATCTCTGTTCCCCATGAGCTGTTCACAGAGCCCAACTGGGGCTATGGATAGGTCACCACACAGGGGAGTGGCATGGGAACAAGAAGAGCACGTCCACCGGCCTGGGAGCCCCCCCCAGCCTGCCTGTTTCTCCCACCTTGTCTGAATGTCTCACAAGTTCACCAGCCAGTTTTGTGAAAAGTAGTTTGGGGCACTAAATGAGTCCCCTCAGTGCAAACGAGAGCCAAAGCGATGCCCCTGTTCCCAACCCCAGGACCACTGGCATGCCCAGCCTGCACCCTTGCACCCTCCCAGACTCCTGCCCTCACGGAGACCCTGGGGCACTCTCCTGTCCCGAAGGCTCCCGCGTGTACCCCTCAAGGCCTCCATGTGCTTGGGCTGGAGGCTGCCTGCTCCTCCCCAAAGGCCTGGATGGGAGGGGCCAGCCTGCTCTCTCTCCCCGCAGGCCGCAGCCGTATAGGACACTCAAGGAGTCGGACAGTGCGGAAGGCGACGAGGCAGAGAGTCCAGAGCAGCGTTTGCGGAAGCCCGTGGGCCCTGTCCCAGCTCCCCCTGACCGAGCTGCCAGCATTGACCTTCTGGAAGACGTCTTCAGCAACCTGGACATGGAGGCCCCACTGCAGCCACTGGGCCAGGCCAAGAGCCTGGAGGACCTTCGTGCCCCCAAAGACCTGAGGGAGCAGCCAGGGACCTTTGACTATCAGGTAGGGCATGGGCAAGAGAGGGGGATGGCACTGTCTACACTCGAGGTGGGACCCCCATGTAACAGTGGAAAAGACTAACAGAGAAACAGTGACTTTCCAAGGCCCTCGGCCAACGCTCAGGGTCAGTCTGACTGCAGAGCCCTCCCCGGGTGCCAGGGCCCACACCACCCTAACAGTGATGGTAGGAGAAGATGCTGGAGCCAAATGGAAACCTGCCCCACTCTGTGCATCAGACAGGGGGCGGGTGCTGCCAGCCATCCTCCTCACACCCCTGCTGGAACTGGGATTTTGTCCATCCCCGCCACGGCTCCTTGGCAGAGCCTTTGGATCAAAGTTCTTGGTTCTGCATTATGAATGCAAATCAATGTGCCATTTCCAGCGTGACTTCCAATCCATCACATCCCCTCTCCATGCCTCAGGTTCCTCACTTGCAAGTGGGGGCTCTCGACTTTGCATCACTGGGTCACACTGTGGGGTTCACAGAGCTCAGTCACTCCGGAGTGTTCCCTCCTGGGAACGAGGACCTTGGGCCAAGAGAAGGGGAGTGGCGCCCAGGCTGTGCAGCTTGGAAATGGCAGAGCCAGGACTCAAACTCGGCCTCCTCCTTTCTCCCCAGCCAGGGTGCCTTCCACCAGGCCCTGAGTCTCACTTGCCCTCCCAAGCTTACTGGTGGTCGCAGGTGCCTGTGATCTGAAAAGTAAAAAGAGCCAGCCAGTAGCTGGAGTCCCTTTCCTAAAACCCCTTGGCAACCACCACTGGCGTAAAGGGATGAGAGCTTCCTCTTGAGTTCCTTTGTGCCACACAGTGAGAGGAGCCTGGGCTTGGAGTCCCAGCACACCTGGGTCCCCTGCTGGTGACCTGGGGGAGTCCCCCCAGCTGCCCCAAGTCCGAGGAGCTAATGGGCCACACATCTTGGCCCAGCACACAGGAAGGGTGTAGGAATGGGCACACAAATGTCCCAACTCAGCCTGTGGTCACTGCCGACCTCCTTCCCTCCCAACAGAGGCTGGACCTGGGCGGGAGCGAGAGGAGCCGCGGGATGGCGGTGGCCTTGAAGCTTGCCCACCCATACAACAAGCTCTGGAGCCTGGGCCAGGACGACATGGCCATCCCCAGCAAGCCCCCAGCTGCCTCGCCTGAGAAGCCCTTGGCCCTACTCGGGAACTCCCTGGCCCTGCCTCGAAGGCCCCAGAACCAGGACAGCATCCTGAACCCCAGTGACAAGGAGGAGGTGCCCACCCCTACTCTGGGGAGCATCACTATCCCCCGGCCCCAAGGCAGGAAGACCCCAGAGCTGGGCATTGTGCCTCCACCACCTGTTGCCCGCCCGGCCAAGCTCCAGGCTGCCAGCACCGAACTTGGTGACTTCTCAGAACAGCCGCAGACGGATCAGGGCAGGCGAGCTGCCCTGAGCCCTGCCCTGTTCCCAGGGCTCCTCCCTCGTGTTGTCCCCCAAGGCCCCACTGAACTGCTCCAGCCGCTCAGCCCCGGCCCCGGAGCTTCGGGCACTAGCAGTGACGCACTGCTCGCCCTCCTGGACCCGCTGAGCACAGCCTGGTCAGGCAGCACCCTCCCGCCACGCCATACTGCCCCGAATGTAGCCACCCCATTCACCCCCCAATTCACCTTCCCCTCTGTGGGGACACCCACTCCATTCCCACAGCCACCACTCAACCCCTTTGTCCCATCCATGCCAGCGGCCCCACCCACCCTGCCCCTGGTCTCCACACCAGCCGGGCCTTTCGGGGCCCCTCCGGCTTCCCTGGGGTCGGCTTTTGCATCTGGCCTCCTGCTGTCCAGCACTGGCTTCTGTGCCCCTCACAGGTCTCAGCCCAACCTCTCCGCCCTCTCCATGCCCAACCTCTTTGGCCAGATGCCCATGGGCACACACACCAGCCCCCTACAGCCGCTGGGCCCTCCAGGAGTCCCCCCCTCAAGGATTCGAACGTTGCCCCTGGCCCGCTCAAGTGCCAGGGCTGCTGAGGCCAAGCAGGGGCTGGCCCTGAGGCCTGGAGACCCCCCGCTTCTGCCTCCCAGGCCTCCCCAAGGTCTGGAGCCAGCACTGCGGCCCTCTGCTCCTCAGCAGGCCAGAGACCCCTTTGAGGATCTGTTACTGAAAACCAAGCAAGATGTGAGCCCGAGTCCAGCCCCGGCCCCAGCCCCAGGCTCGGTGGAGCAGCTCAGGAAGCAGTGGGAGACCTTCGAGTGAGCCAGGCCCTGAGGTGGGGATGTGCCGAGGCCCGAGCGTCCGTCCACAGCTGCACTTCTGAGGCTTCCCCACCACTCTCTGCCCAGGTTCTGCTGATGGGAAGGGATGGGACCCCTCTCTGCTGCCCCCTCCTCCCCTCCACACTGCCCATCTCTGAGGTCTGGCTCTGGGGAATGGCACCAGCTCCAGCCTGGGTATCAACCCACTTCCTGGATGCCCATCCACCCCACGGTTGCCCCTCCTCGGCACCCTTGATTGGGTTTTGCACTAAAGAGGTCAGCTGGGCCAGTCATTGCCCCAGACTGAGTCCTACCCACCTTCCCTCTGGAAGTGTCCCTAGAGGCTCCAAAGGCCAGCTCTCCTGTCCCCACCACAGCCAGGCCCTGCACGCCCACCTCCTTGGACACAGGTGGCAGTGTTACGCTCCAGTGTGAGCTCATCTGCACAAGATACAGGCGACTGCGGGGTTGGAGGTAGGACTCCCCCTGCTCTGGAGGGTTAACCTGGTGGGGCACTTCCAGACTGTTCTAGCAATACACACACTTGTGCTTTCCTGTGTCTTCACCCCAAAACTTGTTGATTCTGACCTGGTAGGATCTGGGGACCAGGAAGTCTTGGGCTGCCTTGTGATGGCCAAACCCAGCCCCAGCCACCCTGCATGGTGGCTGCGAGCACCAGCAATTTGGATTTGTAGAAGGAAACTAAGAACCCTAGTGTTTATGGAGCCCCCAGCCCTTGTCCCGCTCTCTGGCACTCTGATACCTCCAGGTTCTCCTGGTCTCTCCTATCACTGTCAAAGCTGGGGGCTCAGCCTCTTGTCATCTGGGGCTTTGTGGACAAAGCTGGGTAGCTGCGACCCAGATTTCAACTCGAAGGTCAAGCTTAATGCCTCAGACTTGAGGTGGAAGGCACAGCTCCCTGGCCTTCCTAGGTTGGAACTGGGCCAGTGGCCATAAGCCCCTTCACCAGGGAGAAAGGACACACTTGGCCTCTGCCTCCTGGAAGCAGGAGGAGGGCTGGAAGCCAGTCCCTCCGCACCTGACCAGAGCTCTAGGCCAGCACAGAAAGTCCTGAGGCTAACGTCACCAAAGTTAGATTGAATGTTTTATTATTTTTCCTTTTTACCTTATTGATTTGAGGAATCGTGAAATTGATTCATTTCCATAAACCAAGTTAAAGTACGGCCCGACCATGTAAGAAAACAACCATCTGAGACATGCAGGAAATTGTGAGCATTTCCACCCGAGCTCTCATTTCCTATTTTTGAAGGGTCAGACACAGTCTCCCCAAGGGTGTCTGAGGGGTCTCTGGAGGTCTCTGTCACCCAGGGACCCCCTCTGTGAGAAGCCGCCACTGTTGCACATGGTCGGTGAGGCTTGGCGGCCATCCTGGGTCACCCAAGACCTATCTGGCGCAGGGGTGGGCTCTGGCTGCTGGGGAAGCCATGTCACTCCTGGGCCATGGCAGCACCCCCCAGGCACTTGGGTATTTCAGCATAGATTCCAGTTTCGCTCCCTGGGCAGACTACCCAGGCCTCATCTGGGACAGGGCAGAGGAGGAGAGGAGGCGTTGGTGGCCCCCGCGAAGGAAGGTGGAGCCTGAGGGTGAGTGCCCCATGTTCACACAAGCACTGCTCTCTTCACTTGTGGGACTGACTTTGCAAACCCAAGGATGAACTTTGTGTGTGCATTCAATAAAATCATCTTGGGGAAAGGCTGGCATCCCCGTGTCCTTCAAGCTCTTGGGGAGGGAAGGCCCCACATGGGCCCTGAGCCATCTTCACCACCCACTCCCGTAGAGGCGGGGGGCAGGCGCGGAGCAGTTAGTTAGGGAAGGAGCCAACTCCCAGCGCCCACTCGAGGCTCTAAGCCAGCTCATGCCCTGCCCCTCACAGACCAGGCATGGGGTTGGGCTGGCAACAGGCCTGCTCAGCCCTGCTGGGGCCACGTAACAGGCTGCAGGCCTGCAATGGTGTTGAGAGCACCCAGGAGCCAGGAAAGACTTCTAGGGGACACCCGGCCAGTCACTCCACAGGTCTCGTTAGCAAGAGCACAGCCTGGGAATGTGCCTCTGTTGAATGCTGGTGTTTGTTTGGAGGGGGGGATGTGGAGCAGTCGACCACCCACAGTAAATGCTGAACACACCCAGTCTCACACCTCCCCTCACTTGCCCATCATCTGACCACCTTCCTCTTCAACAGGACTGCCCTTGAAAACGACAGGCACCCGAACCCATAGGAGCCAGGAAGGGGACAGGGGCAGCTGGCTTTCATCTGCATGGTGGACCGCCACATTACATGTCCTAGGAGTTGCAGCTGACACAGGTTTTCCAAATCCCTGACTCAATAACTGACCCAGGAACCAGCTGAGGCGACGGAAACGGGTGCTTCCTCCGCACGTTCCCAAGGGTAGTAGAGAATGTTCAGGGAAAGGCGGTCCCACCTCCTACAGGGATAAAGACCAGGCAAGCCCCTCTCCATCCCAGCCTCCTGACTCCCCAGTCCCATGTCCCAGTGCCCCCAAGTGGTCACGTGGCCCCACCTTGGACACCCATGCCTCTGGGACCAGCTGAAACTGAAAGGAAAAGCTGACTGTTGACCCAAAAGTGTAAACGGATCTCCTGCCTGGGAAGCAGGAAGGACGAAGGGGCACATCTCCAGGTCCATGAGACTGGAAGGCGGCCAGGCCCTCAGGCAGGTGCCCTTCTGGGATCAGAGGTCACGGTGTGATGGGCATTGCCAGGGAAGGGGCTGGGAGCAAGCAGCAGAGTCTCCTCTGAGTCTGCCTCTGCAGGCCCAGCCCCGACACAGGGGCAGCGCCAGTGTTTGCTGAGCTCCTCTACTCGGCAGACAATCCAGAGGGTTTCCTTTGAGTCCTCTCCCAGAATCTGTGTAGAGGCAGTCAGTCAGTCATCACAGGAAGGAGTAAGCTCGCCAGGCCACTAGGGAGGACCAGAGCTGGAGAACCAGAGGTGGGCGGGTGAGCTGGGGGGGCTTGCTTGGGGAAAAAGGGTTGCTCCGTCATTCTTAAGCCCCTCCGGCCTTCTTGCCAAACCCCAAGTAGGCCCCTTATCCACTCTTTCCCGCAACTCTGGCCAGGGAGATGACACTTTAGACACCTAAACAGACACCCGGAGGTCCCTCCCATCAGACGGGAGGGACAATGTCCATTCTTTCCCCATTGCCGTCCTCTCTGATCCTCACAGCAGCCCTGTGAGGTAGGCAGGGGGGTGGCTTCTTCCTCATGTCACAAATGACCACAGCAGGGTGGGAAGCTCAGGGCAGCCCCTCCTCTGCTCCTTTGCACTGCCCTGGCCAAGGGGGTGAGTGGGTCTGTGCTTCCCTTGCATAACTGGCTCTGGCTCTAGCAGACACACCTGCCTGAGGGGACATTTGTTCTAGGAGCCAGAAGCCCAATCGGCCTCTGCTTATGGCCTCCCTGACCTTCCACCTGCCTCCATGGCAGGAGCAGCTCCCAGAGCCGGGGGAAGAGGCTGGAGCCCTGGCCTGGCTTCCTAGAGAATGTGCAGCCTTGGCTGCCCCTGCCCCGGGGCTGGAATGGCTGTCCCCATGCTGCAGCCGCCTCCACCTGGGACCAGCTACGCCAATCACACAGTCATGGACACACAGCAAAAGCAGCAGACATGCCCTGGAGCCCTGTCAGGATGCACACTAGCATCTGCAGACAAACACGTGCCCAGGTACACACTCCTCCAGATACACGCACACACTCCTCCAGATACACGCACACACTCCTCCAGATACACGCACACACTCCTCCAGATACACACACGCACACTCCTCCAGATACACACACACTCCTGAACACACTGTGCACCCACGTGTGCCCTCCCACACAGCCGTACACCTGCCGAGGCAGCACCCCATGGGTGGGAGGGAGGAGTCCACGGCCTCTCTAGGCCTCTGCTTCCCTGAGTTGCTCTGCTTGTCCTCCATTCAGGATGGGGCAGAGGCGGAGGCTCTGTAGCAATGTCCTGGGCCCTGGAAGCAGCTTCCTTGGGTCTCCTGGTAGAAGCCATCCAGGACCTCCAGGTGCTGGTGCTGGCACTGGCCGCCAGGCTGGCCTAGATGAGTCTCTCCTCTGGTGGCACCTTGAGGACACTGTCCATCTCCAGACGGGCCCCGGCCACTTCCTGCTGGCTTGGGCTATAGGTGCCCTCGGACTGGCGGCGCTTTCGGGCTGCAAGGATCCCTGAAAGGAGGCCCAGGAGGAGGAGGAGGAGGCAGGCACAGGCTGCAGGCACAGCCACCTCCAGCAGCGGGAATGGCAGTGGCAGGGGCAGGCCTTTCTGCAAATGACACAACATCGAGGCCTAAGTCGCAGAGACGGGGAGGCCCCGGGGCTGCAGAGCAAAGAGGGCAGCACGAGGATTGCTCAGAGAAAATCAGAGCTGGGATCAGGCTGCCCTGGGAGGGGCGAGACCCCCAGCCCCAGGAGTATGCAGGCAAGTGCCAGGAAACCACCTGTCAGAGCCACTGCTTCAGGGAGCCCTGTACAGCAAAGGAGTTCTGGCTAGAAGGACAGAGACAGACATTTACTGAACACCTAGCAGGAGCTAAGCACGGTGCCTGGGTTTCACGAAGCCTGCGAGGGTCTGATGAACAGGAGCAGGGTGGGCTGAGTGGCCCCCTGCCACAATAGCAAGGTCAGAATCCATCGGGGCTGGCCTGCTGCATCCGGGTGGCAGGGGAGTGGGGGGCTGCTCTGACAGCTTGTCCCTGCGAGGCTCATCCCAGGCTTGGGGAGAGGGGGCAGCAAACCTCCTTGCTGTCTCCAGTCACAGGCTCCCAGGACACCCCATCAAAGGCTCTACATACCTGGGACTCTGAAGTCCCAGGATCTAAGGATTCCAGAGGCACAGGAGGCACACGGGGTCTCAGACTCACCAGCCTCCCTCTGTACCTCCAGGCTTCTCAGCCCGCTGTGACCTGGGTTCCAAAGCTAGAGAGGAAAGTTCCTCTCGGTCCTGAGTGGGCCCTGCCAGCCTCCACCCCTGGGCATTTTGGGGGAGAAGCTGTAAAGCCATTTCCTCCCCCTGCCCTGGGAGGTGGCTGGGTGGGGAAGCCAGAGGCTGTAAAAGTTCAACTTGAAAGGAAACATTCCCAGTAAGTGGAGGGGATTTGTGTTTTATGACCCAGGCTGCCAGAAGCCTGTGGAGATCAAGGCTGCTCCCCAGACTTCCCTTCCAAGCCCAGGAAGGGGTGTGGTGGGGAGGTTCACAGCCTGCCGCCTTGGTCTGTCCAGGCCCCTCCTGGGCTTAGCCCCTGGGCTTGGGGGCAGCCTGCACAGCAGCCAAGCCTACCCTGGAGCCGACTCCCAGGCCCCTCCGTGTCTTCCTACTCAGGACACTGGCTCAGAAACCTCTGGAGATGAGAGTCTCCTGGATTCACCAACCTAAATCCCAGAACGCCTACATCCTCTGGGCCCTTAATCCTGGTTGAATCGGCAGAGACCATCTGTCCTCACTGCCACTGCCCTGGGCACTCTGGGGAAGCCCCTGACCCGGCCAGGAGCTCTGTGCTCTCACCAACAGACAGTGGCAGCCCCCAAAGCTCTCCCTGGAGTGGAAATACCTCCTGTGTGGGGAGTGTGGAAGGGACCCAAGGCTCCTCTCGCTGCCCCCTCCATGACAGTGTGGCCCAGGAATAGCCCCACGGTACTACATTACTGTCCCCACTCCCCACAGCATCTTGCCAAGGGCCCAGCAGGCCATGTCCATGGCCCCTCACCCCTGGCATCACTCACCACCACTTCACAGAACCGGCCAGAGAACCTGGCGCTGCAGATACATTCAGATGCCCCTCCAGCTGCTCGGCAGGTGCCCCCATTCAAGCAGGGGCTGGCTTCACAGGGAAGGGGTGGGACCCGACACCTGGAGAGGGAAGGGGGCTGAGAAAGCAGCTCCCCCATGGCTGCCTCTTGTGCTCCCAGCTGCTCTGCTGCCCACCCCACCCTCAGCAAGCATCAGCGCTTGTCTATCCACTGCCCCCACACGCCGCTCCCACCCAGCTGGGCCCTGCCAGGTGGCCACATGAGCAGCCATGACTGAGAGGAACTCTCACCCCGTTGGGGTGCTGGGGAAGCCTGTGTGAAGGCAGGCGCCCAGGAGCTGACACCACTGTGTGCAGGACCCAGAACCTGCACTTTTACAGTGTCCCACAGGCGGGCTGAGGCCGTGGGACACAGAACCGCCACCAGGTCACCACTGCCCAGCAGCGGTCTATCATAGAGGATGGTCTTGGAAGACATGGAAGGAAACTCAAGTGACAGTGGTGACTGTGATACCAGAGAGGGGTGAGGAGGTGGGCGAGGACCCCTGTCCCGCCCTGGCTGGCGGAACAGCCCTCCATACCCATTGGACCGCCTCATAGTTCCCAGGCCCCCAGACCCACCTCTGGTCAGCAAGACCCTCCAGGCAGCTGCAGTTGGCAGCAGGAGACCCACCCTCACACCGGCTGCTGTTGAGGCAGGTGACGTTCAGGTTGCACTCCTTGGGTGGGACAGGCAACCTGGAGAGGGAGTAGAGGCTGGAGTGGGGTGCAGGAGGCCTGGGACCTGCCCTCCCAGACGCTGTGGCCATGGGCCACCTGAGCCTGTGTTCTCAGGCATGGAATTCAGGGCCCTCCTCTATCAGTCGTGGGATTGGGGTCCCTGGTGGGAGGGAAGGTACACAAGACTGTCACTCACTTTCCAGAGACTCAGAGGACTCTGAGGACAAAATTCAAGGACTCAACAAAAGCAGCTCCTAAACACAACACCTGGACATTCTTGAGGGGAGCGGGAGGGGTTTGGCCAGGCAGATCCCCTTTCACACACTGAGCTCCCCAGAGAGCCACCCTGAGGTGAATAAGGGAAGCACCAAAGTCTGAACGGCTCATTCCAACCTGACCCCCTCCCCCCAGCCTGGCCCCGCTCTCTCCAGTCTGGCCCCTCCCCTCCAGCATGGTCCCTCCCTCCAGCCTGACTCCCCCTCCCTGTGCCCTAACCCGCGACCAACAGGAATGAACCTCCGTGTAAGGCAGGCAGCTCCCAGCCCCAGACCACAGTGCTGTTTATCTGAAATTCCAAGCTAACTGGGCATGTTTTGATCTGTGTTTTATCAGGAAATTTATGAAATCAAACCATCTTCCTCATGTCACAGATAAGGGCATGAGGCTCAGGGAAGGGAAGCGACTCTTCCACAAACCTGGCGGACTTCTCTTCCCCTCCACAGCCCCAGGGGGAGTTCACAGCCCACCCCAACCCTCGTCACCGGCGGGGCCCGCCCTCCTGCCCGGCCGTCCCACCTGCAGCGCGGGCCCCCGAAGCCGGGCGGGCAGAGGCACTCGAAACGGCCGTCAGAGTGCGTGTGACAGCGGCCACGGGCGCAGGGCGCCGAGTGACAGGGGTCGACATGGGCCTCGCAGCGAGGGCCCTCCCAGCCCGGGCCACAGGCGCAGGCGAAGGCGTCGAAGAGGTCGCGGCAGGCGCCGCCGTGCAGGCAGGGCGAGGGCGCACACACCGGCGCGCCGCGGCAGCCGAGGATCGGGGCTGGCGCCCCAGGCCAGGCCATGAAGTGCTCTCGGGCTCCGGGGGCCGCGCCTGGCCGGGGCCGCGCCAAGGGCAAGGGGAAGCCACCCAGCGCCACGCGGCCCAAGCAGCCGGTGAAGTTCTCGGCCAGCAGGACGCGTGTGGCACCTGGACCCTGCAAGAAGCCCAGGTCGCCGGCCAGGCCGCGCAGTGCTACCGGCGTGGCAGCGCCGTCCAGCCACAGCAGCCAGGGCGAGGCAGTGGCCGCCGGGCGCTCCATGGCCAGGTGCACGCGGTGCCAAGCGCCATCAGCCACGCGCAGCCCAGGCATGGGCAGCACAGCGCCGGGCAGGCCGCGGCCTCCACGCACGCCGCCCACCAGCGAGCCGTTGCGCACCGCCAGCCACACTCCAGACGTGTTGCCGGCTGCGGCGCGCAGCAGCCAGGCTTCGGGGTCGCGCGTGCGGAAGGCCAGCGACAGGCCGCCGAGCGAGTGCCCCGACGATGCGTTGTGCCCGCTGAACATGGCGGGGGGACCCTCCCGGAACGTGGTCTGGGCCACACCTGCGGAGAAAGGGAGCCTCAGGGAATGGCCCATGGAACCTTCTCCAGAAACGCTACCTCCCCACTTCCCCCAGAGAGTGACAGACGAGCCACTTACTGAGGGCCCATCATGGGGGGCGGGGCACACGCTCCCACCTTTCATCTAATCGTGGATCCTGGAAACTGCAGCCGCCCCCTGCCACCCTCACTTCTACCCTACATGTATTTCCTACCGCCGGAAGGGCAATTCCAGGCCAGTGCTAGGGAGGGCAGGATGCTCAGGCGACCCTCCAGGTCACAGGCCCAGCAACAGCAACTCCCGGCAGAATCTGGCCCCTTCCCTCCTCCGTGAAGCTGCCTCACCTCACGGCGGAGGCTCGCCCTTCACTGCAGCCAGTCATCTTTGTAAAATGCAGAGCTGGTCATGCCCCTCTCCTGAAAACCCTCGGAGGCTCCCCACTGCCCTTGGGGATAAAGTCAGAGATGCCTCACTGGGCGTCTACAAAGCCTCTGTCAACTTTCCCACCCCATTCCTGCTCACCCCCTTGCACTTCTGCTGTTCTTGCTGACCTCAGGGACTTTGCACATGCTGTGCCCCCTCAGTGAAATGTCCTTCCCCCCCCCCCCGCCCCCGCCTCTCAGAGTCTGGCCTTGAAGCCCAGCACAGGCTCGCCTCCTGCAGATACTCTGTCCCTCTGCATTCGGGGGGCCCTGCCACACTGCCCTGGGGCTTGGCATGCCTGGTCCGCTAATATCTGACAAGCCCTGAGCATGCAGATGGCATCTAACCAGCTTGGGTGTCCAGCGCCCAGCACGGGAGCAGCCCAGGACACACACTCACACACAAAGCCATCGGGGACCTCCTCACACGTGGCAGGCGGGAGACAGGGCTGGCCGGGACACCACAGCTGCTGGGCACACGTGGGCCCTGTGAAGTTGGCAGGGCAGGTACAGTGGAAGTCATTCCAGGTGACGAGGCAAGTGCCACCATTGAAACAGGGGTCAGGCTGTGGGAGAGGCAGGGTGGGAGGTGGCTCAGGACTGCGGCTGGCATCACCCACCATAGCCAGCCTCGCAGTGCTTCTCCACTGAGCACCTACTACAGACGTGGTATCTCCTCACAAACGAGTGGAGAGAAAGTCACTAGCATCCCCGTTTTATAGATGAGAAAGCTGAGGCTCAGTGAGGCAAAGCCCCTTGCCTGAGTTACCCAGCCAGTAGAGAGAGGAACCAGAGTTCCTGCCCATGCTGTTCCAACCCCAGGGCTGGTGGAATTCTGTTCCTGATCAAATAGGTGGCCCTGTCCCCCCCAAGTACACTCCTGCAGAAAGGCTCAGGCAGCCCTCGATCTCGGTCAGGGTGTCTCTCTCAGACCAGGACTGGCTGTGGGAGGCATGGGGACCACCAAAGGGTAGGAGCAGCTGGGCTGGAGAGGGGGTGAATGCAAATCCTGCCCTGCCACCCTCCTGTAGTGGGACCCTGTGCAGGTCACTTCACCTCTTAAGCCTCAGTTTCCTCATCAGCAAAAAGACACACCCTGGTGATGCAGAATAGATCCTGGGAAAAGGACCCGCCCCTAGACACTTACACTGCACGTGTCCTCAGAGACGCAGCCCGCAGTGAGGTTCCAGTACTGCCTGCCACCGAGCTCACTGGGCTGGCTTAAGTTGTCCAGTGGCAGAGGAAGGAAGGGGAGGCGGTGGCCATCGAGTTGCAGGTCCTGGAGGCAGCCTCTGAAGGGCCCACCCCAGGGTTGGCTGTCAGCAGTGAGGAGCCTCCCACCCACATGCACCTGCTGCCCCAGGTCCTGCAGCTGGTCAGGCCCGAAGCTGAGCGTCACCAGGTGGCGGAGCCCATCATCCCAGCGCCCAGGGAGCACTACAGCAGGACTGCCTGGCACCTCGGCCTGGATCCGACCCTCACTCAGGAATACTGTCAGGCCAGCTGTGGAGTCATTGGCAAACTGGAGCAACAGGCCAGCAGGCTCCCGGGTGCGGAGAAGGAAAGACACTGTGAGGTTGGGGCCTGGCAGCTCTTGGAGGAGAAAGGAGGCAGAGCTCGGGGTGCCTCCCAAGCCAAAGGTGGCAGCGGGAATCTCTGCAGGGATAGAAGGTGCCAGTGTGAGGCCTACAGGCTGAGGGAGCCAGATTTTGGGTGCTGCCTTCCCACCTGGCTCACTCCTCACCATCAGCACATGTGGGACCCCTATAGGGCCGTGGACAGTCGCAACGGAAATGAGTCCACAGATCCACACAGGCCCCTCCGTGGACACAAGGCAAAGGCTGGCACTGCTCTCGGCGCTTGCAGCCCAGGAGGACGTTCTCGCCAAGGTCCTCAGGCAGCAGGAGGTGCCCATCCACACGCACGTCCTGGAGGCAGCCTGCAAATGCCACGTCCCCCAGCCGGGCAGAGGAGATCCTGGCAGGCAGCGGGGTTGCCGAAGCCGTGGGAGCCAGGGCCACGGGAGCAGAGGCCACACAGAGCCGAGCAGGGCAGCCCTCATGCCAGAGCCGCAGCTCCAGGGTCCCTGGGCGGAGCGCCACCTCCACCTGGTGCCAATGGCCATCGTTTAGGGCCAGGTCTGGCAGTCTCAGGACAAGCACAGTGGTGCCGTGGCTCCAGAGTGTCGCCTGAAGTGTGGCTGCCACCAATGCCAGTTCCAAGCTTTCCTTGGTGTCATTGCGAGTGGCCAAGGTCCCAGCGGGCAGCGTGGTGCGAAACCTCAGTGCCAGACCCAGAGGGCCACCAGCTGGCACGGATGCCTGAATGAGGCTCCCAGCCATCACAGAGAAGGTGGTATTCTGGCCACAGAAAGGTCCATGGGTACCAGGTGGGCAGTTGCAGACATAACTGTGGACCCCAGACTCAAAGATAGGGATGCAGGTGGCAGCCAGCGGGCAGGTGTGGTCCTGGCAGCCAGTGAGCTGCACAGAACAGTCGCGCCCACCCCAGGTCTTTGGGCACCAGCAGATATAGCCTGCCACAGTGTCACTGCAGGTTCCACCATGGAGGCAGGGATCCGACAGGCATTCATCCACATCTTCCTGACATGTCAGCCCTTTGGGGGAGACCAAGCCAAGGCTCAGTAATGTCTGGGGCCAGAACCACAGTATTGACCCAGAACTTACATACCTCTTATGATAGGGACCTCAGTGCCTATCAACCAAACCAATTCCCAAAGGATTTCTCACGGTCCCCTGACGTCCTCCGTAGGCCAGAATCCAAGATGCCCCTTCCTATGTCTGGTGAGTCTCCAGGCCCTGTGGATTTAATCTCCTAAACACTCTCCAATGCCCCCTTTCTCCGCCCCTCCCCTCGTCTCCTGCCTTACCAGCTCTGGGCTACCGTCCTGTCCTGTCTCCTCCAGTTTGTCAGCGTTCAGAAGCCCTCTCCCATCCATCTCCACCAGTAGCCAGAGGTCTCTTTCTAAAGCATCGCCTGGCCAGGTTCCTCTACCGCTTAAGGCCCCATCACACACCCTGACATTTAAGACCCCCCCATGGACTGGGTTCTATAAGGCTCTCAAGCCTCAATCCTGCTTCCCAAGACCTTGAACTTCCCATTCCTCCAAGCATTTCCTGGAAAGTCCTGCCTCTGGGGCTTTGTTCATTCTGTTCTGTCTGCTTGGAATGCTTCATTCTCCCTTACCCTTCCTTTCAGACTCCTATTCATCCTGCAAAGCCCAAACTCAAAGGGCCCAGAGGCTTCCCCTAACTCCCAACTTCAAATTACAGTATCACTCTCCACTCCCAGACACAGCTCCCCAGAACCCTGTATTAAAAGTATCTGTTTACTCAGCTGAGATCTCCTTCAGGGACCTGAATATGTCCTTGGTGTCCAGCACAGGGCATGGTATGGCTTTTATGGACAGAGTGATGAAATGGAGGAGCTGGTGGGGTGATGCATGCACCCGAGGCACTCTGAGCAGCCCCCTGCCCCAGACTCAACTCCTCAGTCCCTCGGCCCCAGGGTCCCCACACTGGCTGTGAAGGGGCTGCCTCATCCTCCCTCCAGGTGCTCACGCCCTGCCTTGGGTCAAGAAGCCATAGCCCAACTATAGCTCAGCTCGAGCCACATTCCAGCTGGAGGAACCCAGGCCCAGAGAGGCCACCTGGGTTTGAAGCCCGGCCTGACCAGCTCACAAACGCACCTCCTCCTAGGAATCACCACCCACCAACCTCTCCATGCCCAGGGCCCCATCCTCCATACCTGCCAGGAGCCACAAGTGACCCAGGAAGATCCACAGAGCCCCCGGCCCCATTGCCATGCTCCCAGACAGGTTGAGAGTGGTGGGCAGGCACTGAGGCTGGGGGTGGGGGCAGAGCTCCCTGCTTGGCCCAGCTGCCTCCTTCAAAGCCTGCTCAGGAATGCCAGGCACTGGCCTCCCCCACAGCCAGCACGGCCCAAAGAGAGGGAGGATGGGCAAAGAGCCCGGCCCTGCAGCTGGGGTACCCCTCCCTGGCTCTGACCTCAGAGGTCTGCCCTCCCAGTCACCCAACAGCTGAGCTCAACTGGGAAATGAGACGGGTTCCTGCTGACACTGGTGAACCCAGGGGATGACACCCCCCCATGCTCTCAGCTATAAGATGGGGTTTTAAACCCCTGCCTCATGGGGCTGTGGCAATGAAGAAATGAAAAATGCACAGCAAATGCTTCCCGGAGGCCAGGCATGCTGTGTGGGCCCACCGTGTGCCAGGTACCAAGGAGGCTGTCGTTCTTGGAGCAGGACTTGGGGAAGCTCGGCCCATGGGGGCAGCGGATGGGCCTTCAGGACACCCAGGAGTGTCGGCCATTCAGGGATGGGGGACACTGAGTCCCACCATCTTTAGGTGAGTGAGGGTGGAGGAGATGCGTCATCAGCAACTCTTTCCCCTGGTGGAGGAGCCTGTGCCCAGGAGCCTGCCAGGAAGAGGAGCCAGTGTACCCCAGCAGGAATGTGGGCGGGTGTGGGGGAGGTGTCACAGGCATTCCAGAGGGGCCAGGGACACTCGGTTGCACAGTCACCAGTGTCCTGTGTCTGTGCATCTGCATGTGCCCACGGCAGGGGAGACTTTCTGAACCCCCAGCTCCTGCCTGAGAGGCCCCAGCTTCCCAAAGTCAGGGTCCTCCTCCTACAGATCCTGCCCCCCAAATCTCTGCAGTAGCCCCCCTTTCCTTCTCTGCCCTGGCCAAACCGCCTCGTCTTCCCTGAAGGTGTGCAGGGTTCTCTGCCCATCCCCCCCCCCATTCTCCAGGACAACCTCAGCCCACTGAGGCCCCAGCTGCCAGGACTACACTCCTGATCCCCAGTCTCACCTCCAAAGCGAGTCCCAGTTCAGCCACCTTCAGCGGTCACCTGGGCCCCCACGCCCTCCTCCTCCCTGATCTCCTTGACCTCATCGATCCACACATCAGACAGAAGGGAACTTCTCACCCAAGAACCACCAATTCTGACATTCCCAGGGCCCGCCCCACCCCAGACACCTGCATAGCCATCTGGGCAGTGACACTGGAAGCCATTGGGCAGGTCCTGGCAGCGGCCCCCATTGAGGCATGGCTGTGAGGCACATTCGTCCACCTCCACGCTGCAGTCAGCTCCTGCAAGAGGCCCAGCTGTGGGTCCCACCTGCACCCTCAGAGCCAGGTAGAGGCTGAGAGGGTCCATTCTATAGCTAGGGAGACCAAGGCCGAGAGAGAGGGCAGAGTCGGGCGTGGAGTGGCAAGGGGAACAAGATCCCTCCCAGGGCACCTGAACACGGGCTGACTGCTTCCCCAGCAGGGGCTCACCCTCAAAGCCAGGAGGGCAGAGGCAGAGGAAGCCCACCGCGTGGCGGAAGCTGAAGACACCAGGGAAGGCAGGCTGGACGCCCCCGTAGAGGGCCGGGTCGGAGCGCTGCAGGCACTGGCCCCCGTGCTGGCAGGGGCTCGCTGCACACTCGTCCTCGTCCACTTCGCATCGCTCACCACTGTAGCCTGGGGGCGCACACACACAGCATCAGGTCTCACGGGGTCACCAGGCAGCACCTCTTCACTGTCACATGGCTAGCCAGGGCTAGCTAGGGACCGCAGCTCGGAATACGCCACCAAATGCGAGGGAGGGACGCACTGAGGGCGGCAGGGATGACCATGGCAGCCTCCAGCAGCAGCGGCCTACTGCTGCTATTACTAGTATTACTACTGTGACGAGTACTAATTACTGAGCCCTTCTGAGCTGTCATGCCCGTGCCAAGGGCTTCCCAGGCATTGCACCTTCGCTCTCCCCGCAGCAACCCCAGGAGCGGGCGCCACAATCAGCCCTATTTTGTAGATCAAGAAACTGAGGCTCCGACAGGTTGCAGTCACACACTCTAGTCCCAAGGGCTCCCCCCCCCGCCCCCCGCCACGGGCACTCGCGCACGCACACAGCTGCACACCTGCCCCGCCACCCCAGGCCGCACATGCGCACATACACACCTAGCCGCTGCCCTAGGCCACGCACGCGCACGCACACGCCTTCCCTCCACCCCAGGCCGCGCACGCGCACGCACACGCCTTCTCCACCTCAGGCCACATACACGCACGCAAACCCTACCCCACCGCCCCGGGCCACACACATGCACACACACACCTTCCCCTCTATCCCAGGCCACGCACGCGCACACCTGCCTCTCCGCCACGCGCACGCACACACCTGGCCAACAGAGACAGCGGAAGCTCCCGAGGCCCTCAAGGCAGGACGCGTTGTGCGCGCAGGGCGCCGATGCGCACTCCAGCACCTCCTGCTCGCAGTGCGCGCCCTCGTAGCCGGTGCCCGCGCAGTCGCACCGGAACCTGGAGAGGGCACGCGGCCGGAGCTGAGCGCGCACCCGCCCCTGCAGCCCCGTGCCCTCCGGCCCCCGCCGCCCTCGGGCACCCAGCGCCCCGGTCCCCTGCCCTGCCGCTCGCTCACCCGTTGACCAGGTCGTGGCACGTGCCCCCGTGTGCGCACGGCTGGCTCTGGCACTCATCGAGGTCCAGCTGGCAGCGGGCGCCCCCGTAGCCCGGCGCGCACACACAGCGGAAGGAGCCCACGCCGTCCAGACACGAGCCCCCATGCAGGCAGGGCGCCGAGGCGCACTCGTCCACCTCCGTCTCGCAGGTCACGCCTGGACAGGGCCGGAGACACACAGGGCGTGGGATGGACACCTGGAGCAGGGCAGAAGAGGCGGAGCCAGGCCCACTCGGAGATAGAGACTTGTGGGTTCATTCATTCAGAGCTGCGTGTGGTGGGGGCGGGGGTCGCGCCAGCCAGCCACCGCAGGGAGAGAACGAGACCGACAGCCCTGCCCTCAGGGGGCTCACAGCAGTCTAGGCCAGGAGATGGGGGGGATTCGGCCAGTAATTACATACATGAGCTGGGTTTTGATGTTGCCAAGCTCAACGAGGAAAAGAGTTGGGTCCTGAGAAAGCAATAGCCGGGGTCTGCTCTATTCAGGGAAGGCTTCCTGGAAAAAGAGGCTTTTGAAGGATTCAGATAGGGGACTGTGGGCAGCAGCTGACGGCAGGCAGCCGGAGGCAAGTTCCGCTCAGGGCAGGGCCACCATGCCCTAGGGTGGGGTGCTAGGAGGGTGGGAAGCAAGGGAGAGGGTGGAGGCGGCTAGTCTAGTGGGAGGTGTTAGTGCCTTGGGGACCAGGTAACCTCTGGGTCCATCCTGAAAGTTTCAGACAGATGAGTGACTTGGTCCTACCTACATTTTATTTGTTTGTTTTGTTTTCTTGAGACAGAGTCTTGTTCTGTCTCCCAGGCGGGAGTGCAGTGATGCAATCTCTACCTCACAGGTTCAAGCAATTCTTGTGCCTCAGCCTCCAGAGTAGCTGGGATTACAGGTGCCCACCACCTCACTCGGCTAATTTTTGTATTTTTTTTTTTTTTGTAGAGAAGGGGTTTCGCCATGTTGGCCAGGCTGGTCTTTTAACTCCTGGCCTCAAGCGATCGACCCGCCTCGGCCTCCCAAAGTGCTGGGATTACAGGCCTGAGCTACCGCACCTGGCCCTATCTACATTTTTGAAGGCCCACGCTGATGGCTTTGAGACCCTCGAGAGGCCGGAGATGCTGGGGGAGGTTAATCGCTCCTCCTTGTGTCCCTGAACTGTCCTGGTTTTAGAACTGAAAGTACCGAGTCCCAGGAACCGTCACCGTCCTGAGCAAATCAAGACTGCTGAGTAGCTCTCCCAGGGTGAGGGTGGAGAGGAAGGGAGCCGGAGTCCCAGGGTTTCAGATACACCCCCTGAGATCATCCTGCAGCTCAGGGTCACTGTAGACTCCAGTGGGCGCTGCCCCCTAAGTGGGTGTGTCAAGGGCGGCCCCGACGCCCAGCGGACTCCCGCTGGGACCCTCCCGCTTCTCAGTTCATTGAGCACAAAACATGACCCCACCTTCTCATGACCCTTCCCTCCTCCCGCCCCATCCCCACTCCCACCCGCTGTGTCAGGGGGAGCCAGGGCTCTGCTGGAAATCCCAAACTCCCCCACCCAGCTTGGAATGGAAAGAGGAGAGAATGAGTCATGGCAGATGCTGCCCCAGCTCACATCCACAGCTTTCCCAGAAAGAGTTACCCAAAGTATGTGAGTGCCACACATCAGGTACACAACCCACTGCTCACACACACACATTCCCCACACCCACAGGTTCCTCACACACGCACTCAGCAGAGGCGCCCCAGGTACCCACAGATCTTTACGGATACAAAACCAGGATACAAACCAGGAAACACGGACGGATGTGGCCCACACTGGCATGTACACTAATACACCCAGACCAGACACTGAAACACCAGAACGGTGAGAAGGATGCATGGAACTGTCTTCCCAAATCTCTCTTCATCAGCTGCCATTTCTTCACTATAGGCCCCCTGCCCTGGAACTCAGCCCCCCAATCTGTACCCCTTGCTCTGAAGTGACTTCAAACTGCCCTCTGCCCTCAGAATACAGTTGTCTGAATTCAGGATTGAAGGAGAATCCAGAGTGCCTACACTGCAGACTCCAGACTGCCCTGGACTTGGCCTCACTCCCACACCTGTCCCCAGCTGCACCCTCCTTCCCGACTTCAGGCCTCCCTAGGAAGGCACTCCAGGATGCTCTCGGCTCAGACCATGCCATGGGTAGGCCTTGGACAGGCCATACTATGAAGGCCCTAAATGCCACTCACTTTTCTGAGCACTTACATATATATTATCCCACTCCAGACAGCAGTGATCCGTGGGGTGCATCAGCACTACAGTTTGTACGAGACCGTGGGTGTCTCTATGCTAGAACTCTGGGAGTCTCCCCCTGACCAGATGCCAGGGGTCCACATTGCATCCCAGACCACATCAAGAGTGTTCAAATGAGCGGATGGTGCCTGTCATGTGTCTACATGACAGCTTGGCACAGGCCTGCAGCAAGTGCTGGAAAGACTATCTGGGCATCCTCATTAAAGCCACGCCAGGCATGTCCACACTGCCAGAGATGCCTGAGGGGTACCTCCACCCCCAGAGCAAAGCTGAACTCTAGGCTGAACTGAAATAACATCGAGTGTCTGAGATGTGCCACACACCGGGCCAGCACCCGCACCCATATACTCTCACCCAGAGCTGCCAGGTAAACCCACGAAATATCAATTCTGTAGTCAGACCGAGTGGATATACCCCAGAGCTGCCAGGATGCCTGGGGGCGTCCCTACGCGAAGTCAAAGCTGAAGCCATGATGCTTACACTCTGAGCAGCTGGCGGATCCACATTACAGACTTCCTCCCAGGGCAGCCTGGGCTGTTACCTGCATAGCCAAGGGGGCAATGGCACTCATAGCGATCGGCCAGGTTGTGGCAGGTGGCCCCGTGGTGGCACGGCCGAGATGCACATTCATCGATGTCCAGCTCACAGCGTGGGCCCTGGAAACCCGGCACGCAGTAGCAGCGGAAGCCATCAGGATCTGGACCCTGGGGCACACACAGAGCGCCATGGTGGCATGGCTGGGTGGCACAGCCCCGGGGCTCTGTGGGCCCACAGGTGTAGCCACCACTCTCGGTAGCCTGGCACTCGGTCCCTGGAGCGCACGGGTCTGAGGCACAGGCACTGGGGGGCTCTGAAGGCACCGTCCCTGTAGAAAGAAGAAACTGGCTGGGCAGGGTGGGCAAATGTTACAATGACAATCTCCTCCCCACCCTCTCAGGCCCAGCCCAGACCCCTAAAGCAACATAGGTGTCTCCATGCGCAGGATGGACGGAGGGCCAGGGGTCTGCAAGCCAGATCCCAGTAAGCTGCACACATCTATACCCAGAACTGGGAGCAATTTTAGGAGAGTCTACATAGCAGAGAAGTAGGACCAGGGATGCCTGGCTGCTAGGCAGGATCAGCAGACAGAGGCTTCTGACCCCATGAGCATCCCTCCACTGTCTCATTCCTGCAGTGCCCCTTTGAGGTAGGATCTGTCATGCCACTGCACCAGACAGCAAAAGGAGGCCCAGGAAAGAAAGTGAAGGCTTGCTGAGGTCACAGTTAATGTTCTCTGGGGCAGGCTTCGAGGTCTGTCTGGGTTATTTCAGCTTCACCTGGGAGATGGTCTCCCCTCACGTTTGCCTTCTGCAGGCCCCATCCATCCCAGGAGGCCCAAAAGAGTGAGGCTCCTCCCACTGCCCCCTCCACCTCTTCTGCCAGGGGTCTGGTAACTCCATCCCTGGGTGAAACTGGAGATGGCCCCAACCTCAACCTCGGGAGGACGGGTGGACAACTTCAAAGGCAGGGATCGTGTGTGCTCCGCTGGTCTCATTCCTACCCCTTCTCCACCTCACTACCCACCCCCTGCCAGCTACTGGCCTGGGAACTTCTAGAGGGCCCCGCCCTCATTTCATCCCCCATCAGCAAACACCTGAGTGTCCAGCCTGGCTGAGGTCACTTGGTACAGAGCAGGTATTGAGATGGCTCACAGACACCTGCCCCCCACACACACTGTGATTCGTCCGGCACCGGAGCTCCCTCTGGTAGAGGCTCACCAGCTGGCTTGGAAGCCAAGCCCAGAGATCCTCGTCCCCCTTCCTCTCCTCCTGCCTTCCTGAGAGCCTTGTCACTACAACGCCCAGGTGAGAACTTGGGCTTTGAAGTGAAACAGCCCTGGGTTCAAGTCCATCTCAGAAAGTTACTATGAGACCCTGGGTAAGTCATTTGTCCTACGGAGCCTCTGTTTCCCAGTCTGGAAATGGGGTAATAGAACCCCCTCATCAAATGCTGAATGATTCAACCCCTCAGGGCCGCAGTCAAGGGCTGCTTTTGGTAGGAATTCCGTAGGGATGGGGGAAGGGAACCTCGAGAAGGCACAGCCCCTGTTCCTCCCCCCCACCCCCACCTGGAGCTCTCAGAGGTGTGCCCCTCCCCCACCCAGGTTGTCATCCAGACACTCACCAGATCCCAGAACAGCTCAGGCCCTGCACCCTTCCCTCCCCCACTCTGGTGAAGCCCCCCAGATAAGGCTGGCAGCCTCTCAGGCGTCATCTGCATTCCAGGCAGGGCTGTCCTGCCTCCGGACCTGCATCCTTCCAGCTCCCTTAGGAAAGGGCACAGGTTTGAGGCATCGGGCAGTCCTGGTTTGTATCTGGGATGCAAAAAGTGCCCGCCTCACCGAGGTGTTGAGAGGATCCACCAAGGTGATGCAGGCATAGCCCTGGCACTGGGTGTGGCCAGCACTGCTCAGGAGGGTGCAGCAATCATAACCCATGGTGAGGGGCCCCGGCTGCCAGCGCCTGTGCCAACAGGCCACTCACTTAATCCCCATAGAGCACTGCCCCTCACCTGTGCAGTGTGGGGGATGCCCCAATCCAATCTGAAGCTTTGCCCCCCATCTCAGAGCAGCTGGGACCATGCTAGGGAGGGAGCACCGGGGAAAGGATCCTGGGGGGCAGGGAAGGCACCCTGTCACAGGGGATCTTCCCAGGAACAGGGAACAGATGGGCCCTAAATGACAGAGCTCAAGAGACAGGGTCCAACCCCATGGGAGGAAGGAATCTCTCTAGTCAGAGCCAGACAGACAGGAAGGGAAGGAGTGTCCTGTCCTGGGGGGCAGGCAGTAGTGCCACAGGCCTGCCTGGGAGGGACAGCCATATTTCTTACATCATCTCGTGGATCTCACCATTTACCCTCCAAGGTGGGTAGGACTATGATCCCTGTTTTATAGCTCAGGAAAGGCAGCCTCACAGTCCACAGCCCGAGGGAGGCTGGAATCCAAACCCAGGGCCTCACTCCAAGCTTCCCAGAATCACTGGGGGCCATATGAACAATACAGATTCCTGAAGCCCACTCCAGACTCAAAATTTTGAACCACTGGCCCTGAGCCTGACAACCTGCCTTGCAACCAACTCCCTGGGGGATTCCTTTCACTTTTAGGTGTGGGAACCACTGACCTCAGGTTGTCACTGTCTTCCAGGGGTGAGCCTGGGAGGCCAGAATAGCCCAGGGCAGACAGGAGAGGCAAGGAGGGGTGGGGTGTGGAGGGCAGCAGGGCAGAGGAGGGGCTGTTCCCGGGCCCAGGCTGGAGAGGTGGGGCCTGTTGCCAGGGCAACGAGGGGCCTGTGCTTATCTTTACAAATCCCTCCTGACCTCAGGCTGCCTGGGCCGACCTAGCAGGGAGGGATTAATGGACGCCCGCCCCTCCTCTTCGACCTGGTGCCCTGTCCTGGGGAGGGCAGGAGGACACAGCCGTTTACTGAGTGTGTACTACGTGCTTGCGGCTGTGCGTCTATTTGTTTTTTGTTTTTTGTTTTTTTTGAAACGGAGTTTCGCTCTTGTTACCCAGGCTGGAGTGCAATGGCGCGATCTTGGCTCACCGCAACCTCCATCTCCTGGGTTCAGGCAATTCTCCTGCCTCAGCCTCCTGAGTAGCTGGGATTACAGGCACACACCACCATGCTCAGCTAATGTTTTGTATTTTTTTTAGTAGAGACGGGGTTTCACCGTGTTGACCAGGATGGTCTCGATCTCTTGACCTCGTGATCCACCCGCCTCGGCCTCCCAAAGTGCTGGGATTACAGGCGTGAGCCACCGTGCCCACCGCGCCCGGCCGCGTCTATTTGTTATACTCGATTGAGACCAGAAAAGTCCTGGGCTGTTAAGAAAATTTGCTTTTGTAACTCAAAGAGTTTGATTATTTTGCCCAAGTTGAAACAAAGAATCAGATCAGCTCCTGATTTCCCAGAGGTCCACTTCTCCACTTTGCAAACTCTAAATTGCCACCCACATATTGTCATTTTGGTACATTTCAGCTGCCTCACCCAGGAATAAATCTCTAAAGGTTTTCACAAGAATACAGTTTCCAATATCAGACTGGGCAGAGCGGGCCATCTTCCACGTCTGTCCAGAACCCAGCTGTTGGCAATCCCACCAGTCTCAGGCCTCACGCAGTGACTGCTAACTCCTACTTTTCATGCACGTCTAATGGGCCTGGTTATAACAGCCAGCAACTGGGGAGAAGTGTTTTACTGAAGCCAGGTGTGGTGGCTCACACCTGTAATCCCAGCACTTGGGGAAGCTGAAATGGGAGGATCACTTCAGGCCAGGCGCTCGAGACCAGCCTGGCAGACAGAGTGAGACTGTCTCCACAAAAAACAAAAAAATAAGCTGAGCATGGGGCGGGCCCTGTAGTCCCAGCTGCTTGGGAGGCTGAGGTGGGAGGATGGCTTGAGCCTGGGATGTTGAGCTATGATTTTGCCGCTGCACCCCAGCCAGGGCAATAGAGTGAGATCCTTTCTCAAAATAAATAAATATAAATAAATAAACAAACCAAAAAACCACAAGCAAAAAAAAAAAAAGCGTTTTACTGGGGAAACTTCCTGTCCGACAAATCAAGAGAGAATATTTCTGAGAAGCCACCTAAGCTCTCATAAGGTGTGGGATCGTCTAGCGTAGGGAAGAAATTGTTCATCTGAGATCCCTGGGCCCCAAAGCTCTACCCGCAACATGGGTAGGGCTGAATAACAGACACGATGGATGAGGTTTTGCAAACAGTCGTCAGGAAAGGGTAAAATACTCTTTCGGGCAGAAAAATTTGGAATGCTCTTTTTCAAAAATGTTTACCTTCTGAGGTTAAAAGGCATAATTTTGATGATAGCAATTGCAACAATAGCTGTCAGGGACGGAGCGCCTCCCCTGTGCCTGGCGCTGACGATCCCTTGAGTTCAGGCTCAGAGCACAGTTCCAGGGGGTTACCTCCTGAAGTAAGGGGGAAGCCGGGGGGGGGGCGCAGATGTTTCCCCACCTGCCACCCAGGCAGCCACTTTTAACAATTTTACTACTCACTATGAATGGGCTTCCATCTAAAACTTCCCTTGAAATTGGGGGTTCCATGCCAAAACCTGGTGTGGGTCCACTCGCTGCATTCTCTTCGAATCCATGTACCTGAGCTCTGAGTGAGTCCTTCTGTCCTCGTTTTTCGTTTTGTTTTTTGAGACACGCTCTCCCTCTATCGCCCAGGCTAGAGTGCAGTGGTGCGATCTCGGCTCACTGCAACCTCTGCCACCTGGGTTCAAGCAATTCTCCTGCCTCAGCCTCCCGAGTAGCTGGGGTTACAGGCACCTGCCACCGTGCCTGGCTAATTTTTGTATTTTTAGTAGAGATGGAGTTTCACCATCTTGGCCAGACTGGTCTCGAACTCCTGACCTGGTGATCCACCCACCTTGGCCTCCCAAAGTGCTGGGATTACAAGCGTGAGCCACCTCGCCTGGCCTCCATCCTCGTTTTACAGAGACAGAGAAGAGACATGACTTTCCCTAGGCTAGCAGCACAGTCCACTGCGAAATCCCAGCACTGGCTCGGGGACTGACTTGCTCTGTCTCTGGGCCTCGTTTACCTCCTCCATAAACTAAGGGTATCAGAGCTGACTTCGCAGGCTGCTGGGAGAATTCAGTTAGACCTTGTTAGTAGCACAGGGCCTGCCATGGAGTGGCCGATCATATCCATCAACAGTTCTTTACTTGAGGCAAACACCCACTGTCCAAAAGATCCTGACATTGGGTTGTCTCTGCCTCTGTCCCTGTCCCACAGGCCCCCACCCCCTTCTGGCTGGAGGAGGGGACGGACCTGGGGCCTGGATTCACTGCCCCTTTGTCTGCCGGGCTCCCTGGGTGTTCGGGGAAGGGAGGGTGGATATGAGAGCCCAACACTCCCCATTGTCCTCCAAGATGCTTGGTCCTCTCCATGGCAACGAGCTGGGCCTTTGTGGCAAGTTGGGCCCGGGATGGAGGGGCCCAGCTCAGGGCCTGGAAGGGGTGGGCAGCACAGCCAGGGGCCCAGGGCCTCCAGAAGCTGCCATCCCCTCTGGGATGGAAATTGGTTTTCAAGTGACAAAATCTCCAGTCCCTCCCCTCCCAGCAGGCAGGCTAGGGCACTAGCATGCAGAAATGGTCATGTAGGCAGTGCCCCTGCCAGTGTTTAGGAGTCCCCAGGGATGGGGCCCCCAGCACGTAAGTGGCAGAGGAAAGGCTGCCCTGGATGCCCCAGCAGGGCTGATGGGATGAGTGTACACACCAGTGTCCAGACACCACCCCCCCCGCCTCCATCCACGCTGTGCCTCCCAGTCCCATGTGGCTGCACACTGAGTGCGAATGCAACATGTCCACACGTGCGTGCGACGGGTGTGCACACCGGTGTGCACAGACGTGCCTTGTGTGTGCACGTGTGTGTAGGTGCATGTGCTGGTAGATCCACATGTGTCTGTGGCACCTGTTCCTCTGTCACCATGTGCCCTTGGGCGTGCCACACGGGTGTGTGGAGTGTGGGTATCACAGGGAGGGGGACACGGCCCCCATCCATCTCACGCGCTTTGCTTGCAGAGAACAGAGAGGAGAAGCCACCATCCCCGCCGCCACTGCCCACCCCTCCACAGAGCCCAAGTCACCTGTAGGCCGAGCTTAGCTCATAACTCCCCATCCCTCTCTGAGCCTTGGTTTCCTTCACTAGAAAATGGGGTCCTCATCCTCCCCAGGGCCCCATAGACAGGACAGGAAATGAAAGCTTTGCAAGCGCGGGAACCACGAGGGGCCCCAGGTGGGACTAGGAGAGGCTTGGCCCCCACACTCTGCAGCCTGTGGAGCTCTGGGGCACGGAGGGCTCCCCCAGCCTCAGGGGAACCCTGGCCCTCCTTGGCTCCCTCCCCAGCCTGTGGAGGGAGGGAGGGGACCTCCCAGGCCCGCCCCTGTAACTATAGTGACTAACACCAAGCGTTCCCTTAGACCCCCCAGGAGGAATTCCAGTCTCTGAGAGCTTGGACGAAAGTAAAAAGGGCTTGGTGAAAGGGGTCTGGCTTTAGGGAGCCCTTTCAGATTGGCTTTGGAATGCTGAGGAGGGGGCAGCAGGGGACACATGCTTGTTCCCAAAGCCCCAGCACCCCACAGGGACCCAGAGCATCTCAGCAGCCCCCAGTGCAGCAGGGCCACCGAACCCAGCTCCCTGGGCCTTCCTCCCACTTCTCCACCTCATCACCCGAGCTGGGGTCTGCCGCCCCCACCCCACACCCCTCATATTGAGAGCAAAGACCCAGTTCAGCCGCCCTGCACAACTTACACCCCACAGCATGTGTGGGACACAGCTCATTACACCCAGCTCCTCAGACACAACTCCCAGCTCACCCCAGACAGCTCATCCACCTCCCAACTTCAACACGCCCACCACCTGCGCCCCACAACCCAGCATGGGACTCACAACAGGTTCTGGGGTGAGGCTTACGCCACCTGCAACTCCCCAAGAAACCCAGAAACCCAGAAGTCCCCCAGCCTTTTACAGGATGCAACACAGCACCTCCAAAACACACGCCCCCATCCCTCACCAGCAATAGCTCCCGCAAATTACGCCCAGCCCCAGTGCCCAACCCCCAAAACTTACAACCCCCCTCAACACAAAACAGCCCAGAACACGCTCACTCCATGGAGCCCCACACGGTCTGGGGGCCCACAGCCACGCACTCCTGTGTACCCCACAGCTCAGGCCTGCACCCACGCGGACCAGTGCACCCTCTGCTCCCACGGCCAAGGCCTGGGCTGTCTGCCTTGGGGGACAGACCCTCCCCCAGGACCCCCAGATGTGGGCCCCAACTCACCAGCCAGGAGGGCGAGGGCAGGGACCCAGAGCAGCAGCAGCAACAGGACAGGGGCCAGGACCCGGGGGGCCGGGAGCTGGGGGGCCGGGGACCCAGGCCTGGCCAGCGCCATGGCAGCCTGCTCTGCTCGGCCGCTATGGGAACGGGCGGGCGGCCTGGCTGGCTCCGCACCCCCCTCGTCCCTCCAACCAGCACTAATGCCATGGACAGAGGCCCGGCCCCTCCCTCCCCTCCCCGACACCTCCCTCCCCTCCCCACTGCTGCCGACTCCTCCTCCTCCTCCCGCCTGGGCCTCCTGGGCTGCTCCACCTCGTGGATGTCCCTAGACTTCAGCCCCAAGTCCCCAAGCCCCTCAGCCTGTGAGGTGGACCTGGTCTGGGCACCCAGCCCCACTCTCCTCCCACACTCAGTCAGCCTCCTTGGAGAAATTTCTGTTCTGAGGGGCTGTTCAGGACTCTCTTCTCACCAGGTGACGCCAGCTACTCCCAAGTCCTTAGTTGTCTCCTCCCCTGGCTGCCCCCTCCCCACCTCTCCAGCCCAGCCTCTCTCCCCAGCAGGCCTTCAAGTCCAGTCACCTCCCGGACTCCATCTCTGCGGGGAAGCTGCAGCCCCTCCCATCCAGCATGTTCACCCACCTGCTGCTCCCCAGGGATTCCCCCAGAACCAACCGCCCCACTCCCCGCCCTCCAGCTAGCTCCTGTCCCTGCCACTTTCTCAGTGTTTCCAGCAATCCCCTCCCCTCCACCATCCCACCCTGCCAAACACAGCTCTTCCCACCGTCGACCTCAGGATCCTCCGACCTGGGCACCTCAGCCCTGCACCTTGTGGTCCCTGCCTTGCTCCACCCTCTCCAGCCCTCAGCAGCCAAATTGAACATTTCCCAGCTTTCTTCCACTTGACCTCGATCTCTGGCTCTGCTGCGTGCAACTCCAGAAACTTCACGGCACTGAACGGCAGCTCTAACCAAGCAAGCATTGCTGTCCCCTGCCAGGAAGTCCTTCTTGTTGTCTAACCTTAGAGTCTCCTGCTGCACTCGATGTTTGCTTGCTGTCCAGCCAGCCTCTTGTTGGAGTGGACTGGGGGAGTTCTTCAGAGGGACCTGGTTCAGGAATCCAGGTCATCTCAGAGACACTACCACATAAAACAACATTCCTTTCTTCTACTGCCCTCAGCTCGGGGTGGGGGGAGGGGCGGAGAACCCTCTTGCAGAAGGGACTTTCCTGAGATGAGCCAACAGCCTCTGCCAACGCATGTCTGTTTGTCCCTATTCAGTCACTGTGGAAACAGCCCACCCAGGTCCTGGGCTCTGGGACATGTCCCTGACACGGGAGGGCACAGCCTAGAAAGACAGCAGGAGCCATTGAGGAGATCCGGGATGGGCAAGGTCTCCACAGTGCAGGGGAGGAAGCAGTGGGCATCATGAGGGTCCTGGCCCATCCCCTAGCCCGGGGTATGTGCTGCAGCCCTGGGTCCCCAGGGACCCCAGGAGGGAATTGAAGAAGCCCTGGGGAGACCCCTCATCCACTGCCCCTGCCCCATCCCCGCCCTCAAGGCCTATTCCCTCCGGGACCAGGGCTGCCCCTTGGTTTCTGGGACCCTAACCTCACCCAGTCCATCTTTAATCCCCTGCCGCTCCTGTACAACAGGGCCCCTCCCCAGGTGGGAGAAGCCCCTCTCCACTCCACAGGAAAAGCAGAGGCCCCACAGCTAAAAAAAAATCTGGGTTCAAGCCCAGCTCAGCCACTGATTAGTCGGTGACCTCAGCACGTGACTTCCTTCTCTGGGCCTCAGTCTCCTCACCTACAAAACAGTGAGGCTTTAGTGGGCTGAGGTGGCCATCCCAGCTCTCTTTATCCAGCTTCCCAGTGATCCCTGAGAGACCCAGGCAATCCCAGTGTGGGGCTGGGGGCAGCACTGAAAGTGAACCGCAGCCCTCTGGGTCTCTAGATGCACAGACACGTCACTGGGTGCAGGTCCACGCTCCTCAGCAGCCGGGCCCCCAGCACAGTCCTGCAGCCGCCATGCTCCACCTTGTGGCCAGATCTAGAAGTGTCCTGTGACGTCCTGGGGCATGCAAGGGGGACTGTGGTGGGTGCCTGGAATCCCAGCTACTCAGGAGCCTGACGCAGAACCCCTTGAACCCGGTAGGCAGCCACTGCAGTGAGCCGAGATCACACCACTGCACTCCAGCCTGGGTGACAGAGCGAGACGTTGTCTCAAAAAATAGAAATAATTAATGCATAACAAAAGTAATTTAAAGTGATTTTTTTTAAGATGGAGTCTCTCTCTGTCACCAGGCTGGAGTACAGTGCCGCGATCTCAGCTCACTGCAACCTCCACCTCCCAGGTTCAAGCGATTCTCCTGTCTCAGCCTCCCGAGTAGCTGGGACTACAGGCGCAAACCGCCATGCTTGGCTAATTTTTGTATTTTTAGTAGAGATGAGGTTTCACCATGTCGGCCAGAATGGTCTTGATCTCCTGACTTCGTGATACACCTGTCTCGGCCTCCCAAAGTGCTGGGACCACAGGTGTGAGCCACCACTCCAGGCTCATTATTTCAAATTGTAAATACTCCTGTTGACAACGCTATGCTAGCAGACACAATAAAACAATGAGAAGTGTGCACCTCTCAAGTCCCATGAGAAGATTTGCCATGAAGTATGTAGTTTTTCAAAATGGTGGCAAATCTGGGTAAGGCACCATCTTCCTACGATGTGCATGGAAGGTGTAGTTCTGGCAAATCCGGTCTTTGTAAAAAAAAAAAAAAAAACACCATGCAAAGACGCTCTTTATTTCTATGCAAACCAGACGTGTGCTCTGAGCTTGGACAATTTCAAACAGGTGTTTTCCCTCTGCACGCGTGCCTGGCAGGAAATGCAAAAGTCAAGTGGCACATGAGCCAACCCTTCACTATGTGGAGTGTCGCCAACATCACAGGACATCTGGCATCCCAGGCCCACCCACTAACTGCTATTAGTGCTCCCCCCACGCCTGTCATCATGATCACTGAAAGCACCTCCACAAATGCCCAGAACAATGGCCAGGAGGCCCCGGGCTCTACACCAACTGCAAGAAGGATTTCTTTCAAACCTCAAATGGTGTCTCTCAGCTGTTGAAGCCCAGTTGCACAATGGCCAAGTCTAAATTCCTGAGGCTCATGTCCAGAGCCCTTCATAACTCAACCCTCGGCACAAACACAGATCAACATCCTCAGTCCCCAGCTCCTCTGCCCGCCTCTCTCTACTGCTCAGCATCTCTCCTTCTTCCCCTACTACAAACACACACACACACACACACACACACACACACACACACAGCCAGTGGCTGGGTTTTGCCGACAAGTCTTTGATCCCAGAGTCTGCTTCCAGGAATGCCTGCCCCACCCCCACCTGATTGAATGCTTCTTGACACCACGCTGATCCTTTAAGACTCCAGCCATGGCATCGCTTCCTCAGAGAGACTTCTCTGCTCCTCACCCCAACCCCAGGCTTAGGCTCCCACAGACCCTTGGGCTTCCCTTCATGCCCCCAGCACTGATCCTGCCCTATTCTAGTCACCAGTGTAGACATCTGTACCCATTGCAAGGCAGGCATGCGGGAGGTGATTAGCACACAGAGGAGAATCACTCAGCCCTTACCCTTGGGGAGCTCATGTCTAGAGGAACAGACAGACTTGAGGACAAGGCAGGGAGGGGCTGGCTCAGAGCCCAGTGGGAGCCCCAAAAGAAGGCCAGCTGCAAAAGGGCACTTGCCCAGGGCAGGTAGCACCGTGGAGTAAGAACAGGAGTTTCCTGCCATGCGCAGCGCCTCAGGCCTGTAATCCCACACTTTGGGAGGCCAAGGTGGGTGGATCACAAGGTCAGGAGATCAAGACCATCCTGGCTAACACAGTGAAACCCCATCTCTACTAAAAATACAAAAAATTAGCCTGGTGTAGTGGCGGGCACCTGTAGTCCCAGCTTCTCGTGGAGGCTGAGGCAGGAGAATCGCTTGAACCCAGGAGGAAGAGGTTGCAGTGAGCCGGGATCATGCCACTGCCCTCCAATCTGGGTGACAGCAGGACTCTGTCTCCAAAAAAAAAAAAAAAAAAAGGAGTTTCCCAGTGGAGAAGAGGCAGAAAGCATACCTGGCTAAAAACCAAGCACAGGCCAAGGTCAGGTGTGAGGCCACTGTACCTTCAGGAAATGCAGACAGGTCATCATTACCCAGGGTCAGGATGCTGGCAGGTCAGCAGAGGACAGATGACCCAGCCTTTGTAAGGCGCTAAGGATTTGGACTGTGTCCTCAGGGCACTGGGGAACGATAGAAGAGGTGAAAGCAGAGGAATGACATGGCCAGGTTTGAATGTGGCCGAGTTCCCTCTGTGAGAGCCGCGCTGCAGAAGTGCATGCGTGGAAATCATCCAGGTAAAGGCCAGGAAGCCTGAATCAGGACGGGGTTGGCTGGAGTGATGGAGAGCAGGAGTGGGCATGTGAGCATTAGGAACAATAGAATTTGGTGTCCGCTGGGGTTGAAAAAGGAAACAGCCATAGTGTGCCCCCAGGATCTCTGCTTGGAGAATGCCCGGGAGTGAGGGTAGAGGCGGCGGTCTAGCGAGACGGCTTGGGGAGAGTGGCCAGGACAAACCCAGTCTTACCTGGCTGAAGACCAGGCTGCAGGGTCCTCTATAGACACTAGAGGGAGCTCCAGGATAAGCCCCGGCTCCCCTTTCCAACCAGCTGTTTCCACCCGCTCCGGAAGGGGATAGAACCCAGCGCACCATTCAGATGCAGGTCCTGGGGGTCCTGTTGGAGCCTGGCCCGAGTTCAGGGTCTTCACTGTCTCTGCGCCACCTCGTCCTTCAGCCACTAAATTGGCAGTGGCGAGGAGCCCTTTGGAGGTGGGAGCGGGTGGAGGCAGAAGTTAGGGACTGCAGACAAGAAGTACAGACAGCCTGTGCCCTTCTAACCCTGCCCCTACTGAGAAGGGGAGTGACTCACCCAAGGTCGCAGGGATCAGAGCACCCCAGGTGGGACGGAATGGACTCAAGCTGGAAGAGCACAAGCAGCGCTTCCAAACCCCTTCCCGCGCCTCCCTACAAAAACCAAGGTGAGGGGGGTTTCCCATGAGCCACCCCCCACATAATCCTGGGACACCTTCCCCTTGCCCACCCAGGAATGTTGGGGGTTGGGAGTAACAGCAGCTTAGTGGGTGG